ACCACCTACACTTCAAAAAAAAGTTAATGTCACTTTTCTTTGTTTTATAAATGACCCTCTTTTACCCATTTAACTATCCAGTTTTGAATGGGTAATATGAGTTTAACTTGTTTTTTACCCATTTTAAATGGGTTGGTACCCAACTTATTTAAAATGGATAATTTGAATAGATACACATATAAATTACTCATTCTGTCATTCCCAATTTTGACCTTGAAACTGAAGAATATATTGTATAGAGAATTTTAGAAACAACGTTAGTTTGAGCCTTACTCTGTTTGGATGGTTATTACATACGTATTATTTTATAATACAACATATGATATTTGTTTTGTGTTTTATTGTATTTGTATATAATTAAATATAATTTTGAATAATTGAATAGATCGTATCGTTCTCCGTCGTTACATAGCATCATATATTAATAATTTGAACAATAAACTTATAAAAAAATTAGGGTGTGGAATAAAGCTACTATGGAAAGGTGGAGTAAAGCAAAAAATAGGATTATTAAATAATAAGCATAGACAAAATAAGAAGAAATAAAAAGGTAACAACACGATCACGCCAAATCAGTCGTTACACAAAATGAGATTTTTCATCGTTATCTTAAATGATACGATACAATAAATTTAAGTAACAATTAAAACAAACATTGTATTTAAACTAGCAATAAAAGTGATAGTTTACCTAATTACCAAATGTAGCAACAATTTACTTAAAAACACTCGCATTTACTCTATATATGTTGTATATGTTTTCTCCGTACTGATTTGTTTGCTTTGTACCAGAGCGAACAAATACAAAGCAAAGTGATATATGTAGTTCAACCTGTATTACTAAGATACTTAGAACAATAACTTTGAAAAACTTGTTAAGAAACAATAAAGTTTAAAGAGTATTTTTAAAACTAGAAAATTAAAACCAGTAAAGAAAATAGAATCAGAAACAGATTAGAAATAATATAAAAATATTTTTCTGTAATAAGAAAATCGAGCTCACTAAATGTACGGAGTATTCCCCTATGATAGAAAGATCAGACTCATCGATGTATCGGTACCTAAAACCACAGCACCAACGAACTACTCAACGACAGTAAAGTTGATAAAATCATGAAGCTAAACTATGGAATACATGGATAACTCTCATGAACTCTAAGTAAACATGGAAGAGAGATTGTGGAATTTACTGTTGTATTGAAGATCAAAATGTGTTACAGATATCCATCTCACCACGGTTTATATACACTTTACATAATTGAGTACAAAAGGAATCTAATGCTAACTAACTGCCAACTCATCTAACCGACTTAATCAAGTTGTTAACTAACCAACTATTAACATCCTAACTAACTATTTGATACATGCTCAAGTTATGTTCAACACTCCCAGTTTGGAAATCAGATATTCATGTTGTGTCCTCAATAGTGCTTTGGTTAGGATGTTTGTCTGCTGCTCCTTAGAACTGACATGGTGTGTCTTTATCAGCCCATGTTGAATCACATTACAGTGCAATGGGCTTCTTTATTTCTACTCCCAGCTCTTCAAACAATCCAGTCAGCCACACTAACTCTGAACATGTTGAAGCCATACTTATGTACTCTGATTCAGCAGAGCTCCTTTGTAACGACCCTAAAAACGAACTAGTGAAACTAGAGCCTCACATGTGAGTTTGGAGTTGAGAACTTGATGAAATGATGAGAAATGACTGTGACGTCCGGAAACTAGTCGTTTGAACTAGTGAGTTGTAAGGGTCTTGTCGTTGAAGTTTGGAGTGTTGTTTAAGGGCATAAGGGGTTGATTAGCTAGTTGATTAATCACCTTTATAAGCTAGCAAGACCTTAAGCTAGGTCATGAAATCATTTAGAACCGAGACCCTCAAAACAGTCCCCTAAAAATAGTTTTTAGTTTTAAGTTAGGAGTGAGGGTCAACTTTAAATGGTCATATCTTTTAGCTCAAAACGAATTAGGTGGGCCATTACC